AAAAAAAAAAAAAAAAAAGGATTCAGTTCTTCTGAATTCATCTTCTAAATAGAGAATGTTCAGAAACTAATTAAGTCTGTCAGTCCAGAGGCTTGAATAGCTAACATTTGGGATTTTAGGAGTTAGGACAGATGGATGTTGAAAATGGACACCTCCCAGCACCCCACCGGTCAGTTCCCACCCATTCTCCTGTCCCAGGGACCAGTCCTTACCATCTGCATATTGCGTTTGCTGGTTGACAATGTCTCCACCTTATATTTCTGTCCCTGGAAGTTTTGACAGTAACTCTATCTTCACCCCGAGACAAAGCTCTCTTTTTCAGAAGTGTTTTCCCCCCATCTTTCTCTTTTTCTCTCCTTTTCATTTTCCATTTTTAGAATTATCATTACATTCAAGTAAAAAGGAAGGCATCCTTGAGGAATCTGGGGGGACAGCCGTCCTTTCAGAAGGCGCTTCTCAGGTTGGAGACGGCCAAGGTAAAAGGAGATTTGGGACTCACGAAAGTAAAACCTGAGAATGTGTCCATCTCAAAGTGGAGATAGAGGCCTACAGCCAACCTGGAAAACAGAGGGCTGTGTCCACCCCACCCTCAATCTTAGCAGCCAGGGATTCTGGTTCTCTCTCTCATGTCATCACAAAACGCCAAGAGGTGTGCGAATGGATAGAATAGACAGATCAGAGGAAGAAGTCCTCTGAGCCACTGGCTGACCAGCACATGTCCTGAAGTCCCTCTGAGCTGGGCCCCTCGTTTGTCTGGTACAGTACTGCCTTCTGCTGCTGTTGGCAGGCCCACTCCCAGGGCTTAGAAAACCTGGCCATTTGCAACCAGGTGACTGGCTTTGGCCAGTGACTCAGAGATTAACCCTTGGGAAAAGGACTAATTTAGAGCCGAGGTAGCTCTAACCTACCCATCATCAACTCCGAGAAGTCCTTCACTATCACCATCCCTTCCAAGTGAAATGACCCTCTTCCTCCCACTCTGCATCACAAATTCAGACCAGAGATTTGGCCCACTGAGCTGTGCTATCTGGCCCCAGTGTTTTAGTGTAGTTTGGCTTGGTGGCCAATGTTTAAAAATCAGCACATGTAGGCCAGGCATGGTGGCTCACACATGCAATCCCAGCACTCTGGGAGGCTGAGGCAGGTGGAACACTTCGGCGCAGGAGTTCAAGACCAGCCTGGGCAGCATGGTGAAACCCCATCTCTGCCAAAAATACAAAAATTAGCTGGATGTGGTGGTGCATGCCTGTAGTCCCAGCTGCTCAGGAGGCTGAGGTAGGAGAATCACTTGAGCCCAGTAAATCGAGGCTGCAATGAGCAGTGATCATGCCACTGCACTCCAGCCTGGGAGACAGAGTGAGACCCTGTCTCAAAATAATAATAATAAATTTAAAAAAAACAGATGTCATTTAAAAAAAATCTGTATTTCTGTATTCTCTTGAAAACCACAAGATCTGACGTCTGGGGTCAAGCTGGGAATTTTCCCGTGGGAGGGGTCTGATCTCTCCAGTTGCTGAGTCCTTACTGGGTCCACTCCACTCCTTTACCTGCCCTGCCCTGTATCCATTTGGGTTTTCAGCCCCCAATACAGGCTGGCTCCTGGGGACTCCTTTGCTCCTTTATCCCGCTAACAACCTTGGGATGTATGTAGTGGTGGGATAAAGGTTAGGAATACAAGTTGCCTGTCCAGAAATGACCCTGGTATGAGCCTGATGCCTTATGCATCCCTCTGGCCCGCTGATTAGAAAAGTAAATTCTTTTGGATTGTGAGGCCACTTTGGACCCCAGTTATTTAAGACATATTACTTTGCCTGTTGGAAGATCTGGAGTCGGGTGTGGAGGCAGGGGTGGGGTACAGGGAGTGGGAGGTGCTGTCAGTGTTCCCTTGTCTTTGAAATCTTGAATATAGAAGTTTCTCAGTTTAAATAATCCCTCTTAACCATACTTTTTAGTGGTACGTGTTAGGGCACCAGCTTAAAAGCCGAGACAATAATTTAAAATGGTGATGGGGCCCATCTGATAGGTTCTTCATCCATCTTTTCCCCTTCTTTCCTTTATTCACCATGAATTTATTGGAGACATAAATGTTTCAGGCACTCTTCAAGACCCTGTGTACACAAAGACAAATAGCGCATAGTTCTGTACCCCAGAACTAGACACTACAATGGGGTGAGTGACATACAGTAATAGACAGTGAGGATTCTGGAGGGAAAAGCCAAAACTGTGATCTCTGCCTGAGGCATGTAAAACAGTGTGTGCCTTTCAGTTTATTCTTATGCTTGCAACTCCGTTTCAGCAGAATAAGTGGCCTCCATTTTCTATGCAATTATCATTCCAATAATAAATTTTTTTAAAAAAAAGAAATAACAGGCATGTCTGTGCAGAAAAATGAATAACTTGCACCAAGTGCAAGGGCTTATTTTTAATTCCATGTTATTTCTTTTCACTCCACCATCACCAACGGCATGGACTTGACCTGGACACTCTGAACAGCAGAGCCAAGCAGAAGCCTTACTCGTACCCCAGAGAAAAAGAAATCAAAGTATAGTATATCCTTGACTAACTCCCTTGGAAACTGGGAATGGTTTTCAGCAAATAACTTTTAGCCTTTCCTCAACCTATGTGTCATGTACCCATAACTGTTGTAAGAGATATCGGAGGTAGTGGTGCCGTTTCTGTGCACTCCTGAGATCTCACAGGCCTCTCTCTATTCCTTAGTAAGAACTCACAGCTATTATTTGCAGAAACTGTCTGCCCCCTGTGTTTCGGGGCTTTGCTCCTCAGAATCCACTGCCCTATATTTCATTAAGCTATTCTGCTAGCCTGTGTTTGCAATTTCACCATGTGATTCAAAATTGCTGCAATTGGATCATAAAGTATTTTTTGTTTTTTCCCCTCTCATTTAATTGTTCACTCATTTGTACTCATTATTTCAGAAGTCACTCATTCTCAACTCTTTCTACCCCAAGAGAGCTTCTGTAAGAAAATATGTTGATGGCTGAGAGGAGCGCACCAGCCCAGAGGAAGGGATTTGGGCCAGCAGCACCGTATCATGACAATCACTGAGGGAAACAGAAACATTTTGCTATGAATTCTAGGCACCCTCTGAATTCTAGACATCACGTCTGTGGCATTTGGCAATCACTGTTTTTTTTGTAATTAAATGTTCATTTTGAGATTGTTTTTTATAGTTTTACATGTAAGTTTGAGATCCATTTTCCATTTTGAGTTAATGTTGCGTAAGCTGTGAGGTTTAGATTGTGGCGGTGGTGGTTTTTTGCCTGTGTTTATCAATTGGTCCTGCACCATTTTGTTGAAGTGGCTTCTTTCTTTGAATCGCTTTTTCACCTTTGTCAAAAATGACTTAGGCATATTTGTTGGGGCCTATTTCTGGATTCTATATTCTGTTCCATTGATCTGTGTGGCTGTCCTGCCACATGATCTTGACTACTGTGGCTATTAGTCTTTTTTTTTTTTTTTTTTGTATAGGCAAGCTTTATTATATATGACCTTGATTTCACATACAAAGTTAGACTGGCAATTACACTTAAAATTAACGCATTAAAAAGTGTAAATATCACAGTTTAGATATGTTATCCAAAACTCCAAAAGTAGTGAAACTGGTAACATACTGCTACTTACCTTTGGACAGACACAACAATAGTATTAATGGAACTGGTTCCCAGACACGTATGTACCACTTGCTCCCATGCCTTAGGGAAGAGAGGATGTTATGACACAGGCATTATTGATGCAATCATTTATGGATAACTGCTCCTTATTAACACTGCTAAAATTAGGTTCACATGTTTTATTTTGTGTGGGAGCCGATGACTCTTGTTCTTCTGTGTTTTGAGTGATATCTTTCAAGGTATCAAATCTATTCATTCCAAAATGCATCACAGATGGGAATTTAAGCCTCTTTACAAAGCAAACCACTGGAAATTTATAGTAGTAAGCAGCATTGGTCTGTAACTGATCTCTGATAATACAGCAACATCATTTCTTTGGAACTAATTTTCTTGATCCCACAAGAAGTGACAGGATAGGAAAACTCATAGTTAAATGGCAACAGTCTTGTTACAGGACAGTTAACTCCCAGGTGTATGTCGCCAATTCTAATTTCGGTGTTGTTATCAAAGGGGCTTATTTTCATTCTAGCTAACAGCCAATCATCAGAACACGTTGAAGCTAATGCAAGTCAGACAGTGACCTTGGCCACAGTAGTCAACTCAATCATTGCTACAGTCCAAACATTGTCTTCTTTATCCCCTGAAGATTTGTGTCGAGTCCAGAAGAATTCCAAAACAATAGAGAAAATAGGAAGGGCCTGCCTAAGAGCACAGAGGTCTTCATTGCTCCAGACTCCAAGACACAACACAGGGAACAGGAAATGGCCTGTAGCTATTAGTCTTAAAGTCAGGGAGGCTGGTTCTTCTTATGTAATTACTCTTTTTCAAAACTGTGTTGGCTATTCCAGCTCCTTTTTCTTTTCATATAAATTTAAAAATTTAAAAATAATCTTCTTTATATCTACAAAAAAAATCTTTCTGGAATTATGATAAGAATTGTGTTAAGCTTTGTTATGGGTTGAATTTTGTCCCCCACAAAGATATGTTGAATTCCTAACCCATGGTACTATGAACATGACCTTATTTGGAAAAAAAGAGCTTTGCAGGTGTAATCAAGTTAAGATGAGGTCATTAGGGTAGACCTTTAATTCAGTATGACTGATGTCCTTACAAGGAGAGAGGAGACACAGAAACACAGGGAGAATGCCATGTGATGACAGAGACAGAGATTGAAGTGATGCGGCTGCAAGCCAAGGACTGCTGACAACACGAGCAGCTAACAGAAAGGCATTCATAGATTCTTCCCTGCACCCCTCAGAGAGAACATGGCCTGCTGACACCCTGATTTTTGACTTCTAGCCTCCAGAACTGTAAGAGAATAAGCTGCTGTTGCTTTAAGCTGCTGTTTGTTACATCAGCCCTAGGAAACTAACACAAACCTGTATATCAGTTTGGGGAGAACTGATATCTTTACTATGTTACATTTTCCATTCCATAAACACAGTCTGCTTCTCCATTTGTTTAGATCTTCTTCGATTTCTTCAGCAGTCTATAGTTTTCAGCTTACAAATCCTATACACATTTTGTTAGATTTTTACCAAAATATTTTTGTCTTTTCTTTTTGAGCAGTTATAAATGGTATTGTACTTTTTATTTTGGTGTCCTTGCAGTTATTGCTAATATATAGAAATACAATTGATTGTATTTTTATATCTTATATACATTGACCATACTGAACTCACTTATTAGTTCAAGAGTTTTGTTTTGTTTTTAAAGATTCCTTTGAATTTTCTATGTAGACCATTATGTCATTTGCACATATGGATGGCTTTATTTCTTCCTTTCTGATCTATATGCCTTTTATCTCTTTTTCCTGCCTTATTGCAATGGGTGGAATTTTCAATGTTGAATAAGAGTGGAGGAGGGAGCAGATGTCTTTGCCTTGTTCCCGGTCTTGAAAGGATTCAGGTTTTCACCATTAAGTACAATGTTAGCTGTAGGATTTCTGTAGATGTAGACACTCTATCAAGTTAAGAAAGTTATTCTCTGTTCCAGTTTGCCTGAGAGTTTTTATCAAATGAGTGTTGAATCTTGCCAAATGCCTTTTCTGCATCTAGATGCACACAGTAACATACAGAGACCACATTCGTTCCCTCAGAAAGCTCACCCTTCTCCTAGTCTCATCCATTCATTCGACAAATATTTATTGAGTGCCCTAAAAGTAAATAAAAGACAATCTCTGCCCTCAAGGGGCTTACCATTTAGGAAGACAGACAAGTTGATTGCAATACAATGTGATAATGTCATTAGAAGGATAAGCCCAGAGTGCCACAGACATGCAAAGGCAGGACTCTTAACCCAGAGGAAAGGTGAGGGGACGGGAGGGCAGGGGCAGAATCAGTGAATGTGCTCCAGAGCAGGTGGCCTCTAAGCTGAGTCTATAAGAGGAGGAGGAGTTAGTGAAGACAAGATCTGGAAGAGGAAGTGCTTTCTGGTACAGAGATGACAGAGCATGACTCTGTTCAAAATGGTTGGTTTATCATTCTGTGTAAAAGTGGGAGAGGCTCAAGGAGTACATGGGCACTGCACCATGAGCAGGGAGGTGGTGATGCTATCTAAGCAGCCTGTGCTTTGTCCCAAGGGCCCTGGGGAGACACTGAATGTTTTAAGCAAGAGTGTGACAGAGACCCAATCCTATTTGCACTTTAGAAAGATGGATGTGGCAGTATTTTAGAGAATGAAATGGTGGAGGACAAAACTAGAGGCACAGGGGCCAGTTAAGAGCCTATTGTCACAATTCGGGTGAGAGAGAGATTGGACTGCCTAAACCAGATAAAGGCATCGGGAATGAAGAAGGAAAGGCTGTGAGAGACAGCAGGGAAGTGGCATCGACAGGACTTTGAAAGGCTTATGTAAAGACTGAGGGTCGTGTTGGGAGAACAGAGTGGTTACGGATAATTCCCAGATTTCTAGTGTAGCAACTGGGTGCATGGTCTTGCCATCCAATAATATTGGGAACTCAGTAAGAGGAGCAGGCCTGCATGAGGAAGTGTGATCTTGTATGTTTGTTTTAGCTCCCTATGGGACAGCCATGTGGGTTATTGATGTCCACTTGGAGGTTGGACATTAAAATCTAGAGCTCAAGAAAAAGAGAGTCATTAGTGTATTAGCAGTGGTTGAATCCATGAGAGGGATGAGGTCTCCCTAGAAGAATAGGTAGGAGAAGGGAAGAAGGCTGAGGAGTAGCAGATATTTATGTAGAGGAGGAGCCCAAAAAGACCACAAAAGTATCAGAGAGGTGGGAAGACAGGGACTAGAAAGTGATGTTGCTGAACCCAAGAGCTGAGAAGGGTGGACTGTAATGTCAAATGCTTTCTCAGGGTATGTTTCCCTAAGATTCATCTATGTCCATGGCCCTTTCTGTTTTCCAGCATCTTCTTTCCAATTGCTCAAAAGGCAGCTCCAGGTGTGTATTTTGTCCCCTCAAGCTCAACATGAATAAAGCATATATTAATCTTTTTCTTATCCCCATCTATAAGCCATTTTCCTTCCTGTGAGTGCTAACTCCATTTTTCCAGGCTCCAGACCACAAATGTTGGAGTCATCTTTGTCTCTTCTCTTATGGCCCCAGGAGCCTTTTCTATTTTTGGTTCCCATGATTTCATTCTTCCGTATATCTCTAAATTCTCCTCCCTCCCCACAGACTTACTCATCATTGCCATAATCACTGCCCTCTATCTAAAAGTGTAATGACCTAGATCACACCAACAGCCATCTTACTCTCCCTTTCCCTGCTTCTTTGATATTCCAATCAGTTTCCATTTATCTTTCTTAAAGAATGTTTCCAGAGCCACTTTCCAAGCCACATGATTATGCTTTAAGGAGGTACCTCATTGTCCATCACCCCAACCAACATTTTGTCGGCCTGACTGGAAGATATTTTGATAAGTAAATCTGCTTTTAGAGAGAAGGATTACCTTATTTGGGGATAGCCAGAAGACTGTGATACAGCTTTCACTTTGAGCAGTACAGCACGTTTAGATTATCAAGAAGAATGCATTAACAGGAACAAATGGATGAGGCAATGTAGGCTGTCACGTGTTTATTTAAAAATAAAGTTACCTTACTTTATAGATGCACCTCAAATAACTGGTACCATATGGTATGGCTCTCCCATGTAGTCTCATTGTATGTGTATGTCAGCTTTGTGTGGGATTGAATCCAATTTTCTTTTGTATAATCATGGGATCCACTGATTTCTGCAATCAGCAGTTCCCTAAAAGGCTAAACCTACTATTGAAAATAATTATGTTACAGTCAGGTTCCAAAGACAATTTAGAAAGGAATGCAAATCTGTTGACAGAAAATGGCTCACAAATCAGACATTTTCTTTTTCTTTTACAGACTTGCTGAAAGTTTCAGTTCAGAAGACAGTTTAGAATTCCTTTTAGATGATGAAATGGACTTTGATTTGGTAACCAGATTATATTTCTTGATTTAAATATTGTGTTTGGTAAAAAGTATTGATGATCATTTATTCTTTTGAAATGAAAATATTTTATTCAAAATATGGCACAAACCTTCCAGAAAGAAGTATAATTTTGATACTATTCTCCAATTGGATATATAATCTATCTTTGTCATCAGATATTTTATTACAAATAAATATTAGATGGTAATAATTTAAGATATACATATATATGTGTGTGTATATATATATATATAAACACACACAATCTTCCTGTAAAAATAGCCACTTTCTGATTGCATTTTATTGGGACTTGAGCTGTGTTGGGTAGCTGGATCATAAAATGAATATGCCTGCAACAAAACAGACCTTTATTGCTGCAAGATTGACTCTGAGCTAACTCCACCCTAAATGCAACCACAGAAACTCAAAAGGGACAACAAATACCATCCATTGTTGTATATCACACACCTTACCCATCTTTTTAAAAAAATTGTGGCAAAGAAACATATAAAAATTTACCATCTTAGCCATTTTAAGCATGCAGTACAGTAGTGTCAACTATAAGCAACAGATCTCCAGAATGTTCTGATTTTGCAAAGCAGAAACTATACTCATTAAACAACTCCTCTTTTCCCCTTCCCATAGCCCCTGCTAAATGCCATTCTACATTCTAACAGTTTTACTATTTTAGATACCTCATAGAAGTGGAATCACTCAGTATTTGTCTTTTTGTGACTGGCTTATTTCACTTAGCATACGGTACCCAAAGTTCATCCATTTTATAGCATATCACAGGATCTCTTTCCTTTTTAAGCCTAAATAATATTCCACTGTACGTGTATACTCCACTGACTTTATCCATTCACCCACTGGTGGACATTCAGGTTGCTTCCATGTCTTGGCTATTGTGAATAATGAGGAACATGGATGTGTAAATGCCCAAGTCATTTTAAAAAAAATGTTTAAGGTAATACACTCTTTATCTTAAAAGTTTAGGAAATATAAATTCAAATGACGTTCACTCAGCCTCCTGTTCTCTTTCTCCTATTCCTTCTCCCTTTCCCTGGCACTTTCTGCCTCTTCTGCTCTCTTCCTTTTTTCTTTTCCTCACCCTCTTCCTTTTTTCTTCCCTTTCCTTCTCTAATACCTACA